AGGAAGATTATTTTAGAGGTCTTAATACGCAGGCTAACACTGCCTTGTTCTTGATAATTTTAATTGCTAAACTCCATCCACTAATTGTTTATTAGTGCAGTTTTCGTGTGACTGTGAAAAGTTCACGGCACGAACACGGTCGTGACACAGCAAGGGATACGCCAGACCAATCACATTGCACGAGAATTTACTCTCCATCAAATCAATTACCCGGAACACGGCATAAACACGGCGCGGACACGGTCACGCCAAGATCATTGCACTTTTAGACCAATCATATTGCGCGTGAAAAAAATCAGCCAATTAAAATTCTAGAAAGTATCACGGTCACGGCACGTCACGCTTACGGCACTGAGCTTTTCACAGTCATACGAACACTGCACTAACCAGCAATAATACTTGCACAATGCATTTTTTAATTTTTTGTAGGAATACGAAAGACGTGGTCTATCGAACCTAAGCACACGATGTTACCAATCAAATATCTTCGTTTCTCCTCGTAAAGGCACCGCAATATTGTGGTATAACCATGATATAGACCCTGATACAGGAAAGATGGGACCAATGGACAAGTTCTCTTTACATGGAGGGTGTGATGTTCAAGAGGGAATTAAATGGATTGCTAATAACTGGATYAATGATTTCCTATAAAACTGAATCCCAGGAAAAGATAGTACTAGCAGGATGGGCGTTTCCCACTTGGATATATTTCCYCGTTTCAAATGCAATTTTTTAAACATTTGAATCTATGATAGCTTTACCTTTGAATAGGCATAAAACCTAGCTTAGAGCTAAACAGTCAAAAAATAAATTTGCCGCTTGTGTATCTGCGACGCTATGTCGCGGATGAATGGTATACTTTATGAGATGTATCAAAGGACGCAAAGATCGTTTATAAACAACGAAACTTTTAGTTAGAGAAGACTAATTTAAAGAATCCTAGTAAACAACAATGCATTGCGCGCCGGAAATAATGAAATGCTAAGAAAAGCGCCATTTTCTCTGCCAGGCAAAATGGAGGTTTTTTAGGTGATGTTTGGGAATCCAGTTCCAATATCGGTCTTGTTATTCCTGCTAGATGTGTTGTGATTATCATGATATAGTACTACATAGTCACTTAATTTTTTCTCCGAGATTTGAGAAATTTTGGCAACTAATCTAAGTTAGATTTCGAAAGTTGTGATGTCAAACAGTTAGACGACCGAAAAATCATAATGTCACAAAAAGAATCTCTCTGAAATTTTTTACCTATTTGCTGTAGACTGAAAATAACGAAACTTTGGGAATTTGTGGACTCGACATTGGTTTAGTGAATTTGCAGAAATGTTTGCTCCATCGATGTATGGAAGAGCTTCGAGAGCGATGTAGGCGAACGATGTAAACAATAACACGGGCGCAGTGCATTGTAGTTCACTAGGACTCCGCCTTTAAAGAAAGCAAGAAAATTGCAAACARAATAAACTATTGGCCGTTCTGAAGTTCTCGGTCACTCCATTTTTGATTATATTCTTCAAATTTAGTCTGTTCAAATATTCAAACCAGTAAAGTGGAACTTTGAAACTCGGTTAGTAAAAGGATTGGTTATAACTAGTAGAACTAGCGTGGACTGCGTCGGTGTTTCTGAACCAAACACTAGGAACTTGTCAGATAATTAAAATTTKATCACCGTAAAAAGCTTTGTGAAACTGATGTTTCGGACGTTAGTCCTTCGTCGGAGTAAGTCAGAAAAGTAGTAAAAGGATTCAAAACTTAGCGAAAGTATTTATGGCCAAAGTTACAAGCTTAATTACCGCGTAGTATTTAACAATATATTCATGCCTTTTTAACTAAAGACTGAAAGCCGTATTTTCCTTTAGGCTATACTAAAACTAACCCACGCTATTGAAGCCAGAATACTGCTGACTGAGTAGCTGTATTAATACTAATAAATATCTGAATTACAATCCTAGAAATCTTCTTTTACTGCTCAATTATATTACTTCTAAAGTCCGAAATTACAACCTCGGCTGCTAAGCCAATCTATGAGCCATTAATCTATGAACACGTCATCCAAATCCATATATGGGTACTCTTGCGCAAGTATGCACTTTTCGCGAGGAGATTGGTAAAACTATACTGCGAAATACATTTTCTCCTTCTTAACCTTTAAGAAACAAGACGCCCTACAGGCGGTCACTGAGTTAATTGTCTGTATCATGCGCAGAGGCCTCGCTGCAATGTTAGTCAAAAAATAATGGAATGGTTCACAGAAAAGAATGATTTCGTTTAACTTGCCTAAGACGATTTTCTCCATTAAGGTGTTCTCTTTATGATAATAAAATATTTACAGCTTCTGCCCTTTTTTAGGCCACAAACTAAACAGTTTTGCGTTATGCATGTCACACTACTTGTGAACTTGATCTTGCGCAACAAGATCAAATATCCCAATGTTCTCTGTCAGAATCACCAAAATAGTGCAATAGTAACCAGAAGTCTTCACGGCACACCGACTAGTCCTTTGCAGGCATATGATGATCCAAGTGCAGTAAATGTTCTTGTCAGTAAACTTTGCCTGTAAAGATAGGAAAGCATAGGCCTATTTTTCGAGGATCGATATTGCTTATTCTTCGTTTGCAATAGACATCATAGCCGCCATGTTGGAAGGATTTGACAAAAGATTTTTAAATGAATTCTTCTGTTATATCTTCCAACATGGCGGACATCCCTTTTGTTATTGTGCTCTCTTGGGATTGATTGCAAACCAAGAATATAACGGCTATTTAAACGTCTGATCGAACTCATACAGGCTTATTAAGCAACCGAATAGGAATAAATATTTTTTTCGCTCAAAAGATTGCGTTGTTGTTGGAAATTGAAATCTACTAAAAAAAAAAAAAAAAAAAAAAAAATGGAAAAAAAAAAAAAAAAAAGAAAAGAAAAATTTTTGATAAGACGGGATTCGAGCATACCAAAAGAGAATTAAAAAAGCGATTCCACTTTGCCATACCTCCGAGACATCCGCAGAGCTGGGGCGTCGTATGGACTTCGGACCTGACGGCGATTAAATCCTTCTGCCCTTGGGTGTACGAATTACGCAAGAAAAT